AAAACAGGAAACAGCTCAGGTTCAAATATTTCTGGTTATTATTCATGTTTTATTCTGAAAATGTTGATTTTACAGACACAAAGAATCAATTCTCAGGTTTTTATAATAAAATAATTCTTTTTGAAACAAAAATCAATTTGCTAAGTTTCCAGCAGCGTCTCTGTGGCGGCCATGTTGGATCCTCAGAAACACCACGGTATCGTCTGCGTGCACGTCGACTCAGATTCACTGAGTCTTTATTCACAATCAGTTTTTGTAGAAACACAAACATTTCGTTTTTACATCAGTTAAACTTCCGTCATAAAGAATATTTGACTTGACTTCATTTAATGATATGACACATGTATTACTTTTGAAGATGAATAGATAAATAGATTATTATCAGCTGAAAGTTCACGCACACATCCTGTTCTGTACGATCTCTGATCCGACCACAGACCTCTGACCAGATGGAACGTTTTTATTGGCTGTTGCCACGGAGACGTGTTATGAGCTGAGAACGTGGTTTCAGACGATGGAGTCGTACGATATTTGAATGTAAACAGTCGTTCAGACGAACTCGGGCTTCAGATCTGGTTTCGACGTTTCAAGTGAACAGTGACGTGAAGGTCGTCAGAGGTGCTGGGTGTGAAAGATGGAAGCTGATACGAGGAGGAAGAGGAAGTTCAATAACCTCGTTGATCACAAACTGTTCATCGAGTATGTGACCTCTGACCTCCACAGAAGCCTTGGCGGGGTACGACCCGCAGCTGTGTTACATCCTGGACGGGTTCCTCGGCCTCTACGGACTCGTCATCACCGGGATGTTCATCAGAGAGAAGGTGTGTCACTGTACCACGTTTTATTTTGAAAGAACAGGAGCTGATCACACTCAGTTTAGCTGATTTTACTTTGAAAGTCTGACTTGAAACATAAACCGTTGTTAACTTGTGTTTCTCTAGTTCTTTAAATCCAAAGCCAAGTGGGAGGACGGTGACATGGTGAGTTACCATGGAAACCACACACACACCGATGACTGGTCTGACTCATGTTGTTCTTTCAGTCTGAAAACATCTTTTCTGTTTCCGCTCAGGATCCGAACGCTGCCGGAGACGGCTACAGTGGACTGCTGAGAGACAGCGAGAGAGGACGAGTGAGTCCGACTCTTCATCATCACAGTGTGACTCTCTCAGGGTTCTTCAGAGGTTCTTCAAGGAACCGCATGCCATCACATCAGGGTTCTATCTCTGTTCTGTCATGAACATCCAATGATCCGGTTTGGATATTGTCTCTTTAGGGTTCTCACTCGTTTTGTTCCAAGAACCTTAAACAACCTACAAATAATAAAAGAACCACAATCAACCCACAGGGAACCTTTAAAGAACCTTAGGGAACCTGAAGAACCCTGAAGAGAACAATGATAATGTGATCAACCTTACAGAACACTGAGACTTTACCTGTAGAACCCAACAAGAAAGGTTCTATCATTAAGAGGAAGTGGAAGGAATCTTTTTTTTCAAAATAAAACTTGAAATTGAAATTTCAAAACCCTGTAGAATCTTCACATTTCCTCCAGGAACCAGGAAACACTTTATTAGAAAGAGCTGATTTCTTTTAGAACCTCATTGACTCCAGTCTGTTCTATGTTCCATGTTCTGACAGAACCGCTGGCTGAACGAGGACTCCACCTACACGGTAACAAACACACGTTTTAAAATGACGTTCTTAGAGAAATGGAACCGTTTTGATCACGTTTACACTTTTGACTGTTGAAATATTTGTGTTCCTACATTTTGAAATATCCAGGACTTGAACAGACGAACCGACGGAGAATACAAAGAGCTTCCTGTTAAACGAGAGGTCGGTTCAGTCGTTGCACATTTAAATCAGATCCAGTCATTCTGTTTTATTCAGTACAAG